CTTTTTCTCTCCAGTCACTTTTCATCCTTATTGTCCCCCTTCTTTTTCTCTCAACCTCCCTTTCTGTCTGCCAGCCTCAATATTTTCCCTTCGAGACAGTTTTGACAAACAAGTTTCAATCGTAATGAAGATGTAAAAACAAACTCTTTGTTTGCTCTTGAGCACACGTTTCATGTGAAAGCTCTGACCAGAGCTTCGTTTTGGTTGGCTGAGCCGCTTGTCAATCACGACGCGCAATGACCAAAAAGGAGGACCCATGACCGTGGCGTGCCTCAGGGCAGTCTCGTGATATCCTAACAATTACGTCACGATTCAAAAACTGTAACGGGCGATAAAATTAAAATTATACTACATCCGCTGCGCCGATTGGATGACCGTACCTTTTTTCGTCACGTGGTCAAGCCCTCCCTGGCAACACGAGAAAACAACGCAAAACGGCCGCATTTGTCTTAGCTGTGTGTGCGTTTCGTTTGCTTTCTGAACGCTTCAGCTGTCAACTTATGTCACAACAACTTCTGGAGAGTTTATTATAACTTTGTAGATCATTTGGTATTTCTTGGACTATCAACCACTGCTTTTAAAAGCGACTGCTTGTTTTTTTCGCCTGGAATTGTTGTGCAGTAACTTCTGGAGATCTTATTCCTGGACTATCAACCACGTGCTTTAAAAAGTAACTGCTTGATTTTTTTCCCCTGAAATCCTGGTGTGCAGCAACTTCTGGAGAGCTTATTCTTGGACTATCAACCACGTGCTTTTAAAGGTGACTGCTTGATTTTTCCCCTACTATCCTCGTGTAATAACTTCTGGAGATCTTATTCCTGGACTATCAACCACGTGCTTTTAAAAGTGACTGCCTGATTTTTTCCCCCTGAAATCCTCGTGTGCAGTAACTTTTGGAAAGTATATAGGACTTTGTGGATATCAGTTGGTATTTCTTTTGACAATAATCCAACGGTAATTGACTACTTGATTTTATCATTTTATTCCTGGAATCCCCGAGTGCACTGTGGATTTGATTCAGAGAAATTTTCCTCTTCGTTATATACAGTGAAGGCGAAAACCCCAGTGTTCGTGTTGTGGCAAACCATCTTTAATCTCAACAGCTGAAGGTGGAAGTACGACTAATTTTTTTTTCTGTTTCCCCCGAATCTCTGAGCAACAGACAACTGGGATTATCTTGGTTCTACCGTATTACCATCTATAGCTTCAGTGTGTGCACGATGTTGCGTCGTCTCCGTCCACCGGTGTTCGAAGTTTACGCGGATCGTGACGTCACAGAGGCGCTCGGTGTGTCGTTAGATTATAAA